CTGGCTGACCCTCCCAGGACACAGCTGTTGAGCACTCGGATAGCTGTACAGGCCTCACTTGGGGTCCATGGCCCCCAGGTTGAAGCTGGCTGCTGGTGGCATTGTCCCAGTGTTCAAGGCTAACCCCAGCCCGCGGTCTGACTTTGTCCAAACACGTATGCTCGTTCTGGTTTCAGTGAGCAGCCAAGTCCGTTGCTCACGTGCGCTGCTTCCTCCACTTATGCTGCCTTCCCCTTCTCTGTCTGTCCAATGGAAAACCAGAAAACTTCACAAGCCACTGGCAACCTTGACCTTGAGAAATCTTGCTTCAAACGCAGTATCCTGGAGGGTGGTGAAGTTTTGAGTACAACTCCGCCCACCCTGGGTGACTCCTTACTTCCAAGAATCAGATCAGCGCCCCCTTTCCCAGCAACTCTGGAGACCCAGGCAGCAATCGACTCCAGGCTAGGAACTGGGACCTGAGAGTCCCACTGCCCTCTCTGTGCCCGGATTCCAAGCCCTGCTGCCCCTCTGTTGGCACATCCTAAAGACAACACTCACCATGCTGTCCCTACTCCCTTTGGAGGTACCGGAACAAGGCCTATCAGGATGAGACTGTATCTCTTAGGGGGGCAAGCTGGTGTACAAGATACCCACATGCCAGAGCCTAGAGCACTTGGCTCCCAGCTGGAGGGTGGATAGAAAATGCTGGATTTCATTGCATCTACTCCCCCAGGGTAGAGCAGCAGCCAAAGGGGTTAACTACCCTGAAGCCTTTCTCTTGAAGCAGGCCAGAGAGCAGGGTCTTCTCCAGACAGGGCTGCAGGGGCTCTCCCCCTTGTGCCTGGCTGCAGAATGGAGATGGCTGGGCAGCACCTGCCAATGCCCTCTACCTCTTCCTAGTCCCTTACCACTGGGTGGGGGAGGAGGGGAGGGAACAGGCAGCCTTGCAAAACAGCAAGGAACCTTCCGGTTGGATGCCAAGGCCAGCATCCACTTCTCATCTCCTTCTAGTGTCCCCTGTAAAGTGCACTGCCCTGCTCCCCCTATTTGCAACACCCTCCTTGGCCTCACCTTTCACTGTAGGGGTTCTGCTGACGCCCACTCCCCTCACCTCCCTGAGATCCACAAGTGCTTCCCCTCCTCCCCGCCCTCTCCACTCTGGTTTGAAGCCAAGTGGGGGAGTGATTGGATCGGCCCAGCCAAATGGGAAGAGGTGGGTGAGGGAGATGAAATCATCCCCAGTGCATTCGAGGAAACAGCCCCCCCCCCCCCGCCGGCCGACCTTCTGCGCTGGGGGAGGGAGGGTGGTCAGCAAGTCCCAGTAAGGACCCAGGGGCCTTGGCTGAGGCCGCAGGTGGGCGGGCAGATGCCTGCAGATAATTGAAAGGAGAATGAGAAACTTATCCCTGCATCCCTTAGGGGACCAGACACAGCCGGGCCCTCTCCCCACCCAGCAGACCTCACAGACAGAGTTCCAGCTGCAGAGTCTTCACCCAAGGGGGTTCCCCAGGGCAGGGCCATGGAAGGGCTGCCTCTGGAGGTCCCAGTTCTAGAAAAAAAAAAATCGAGCTCTCAGGGTGTCCCCCACAGAGACAGGAAATCAAGAGCAACAGGGTGAAAGTACAGCTGGATGGGGGAAGGGTTGGGGAGGGGCCAGGACACCCCACCCATCATGTGCAAGGGGCAGGCAAGACATTTACCCCCTCCCTTGAACCGCCAAAGGGTCCCTGGGTTCTTTCCCGTCCAGTGCACGCCCCCCCCCCCCCATGCATGAACTGTTTTGAGGTCGGCTGGTTGCAGAGGGCCTTGCCTTGAAAAATCAGAGTGCTCATCACAATATAAAATAATGGTGGAGGCAGGAGATGGTCAGGCAGGAGGCCAGACCCCTGGCTTCCTGTACTACCCGCTTTGATGGGATCTAGAATGGGGTGCTGTGACACTTGGTGAGCCCTTACTTTTCATATGTCTCCTATGCCAGTTCCAAAGTAGCTGCAGAAAGACATCACGGATGCTGAAGTTGAGCAGGGGCTCAGAAAGAGACCTCATGTGGCCGAAGCCCAGAAAGCCCTCTGAGTGGTCCAAAGTCTAGCTCCTCTAATTGCATCCTACAAGGAGAGTACTTTGTGTCTATTCCTAGGTCAGACAGTCATGCTGGTACCCAATACCTTGCATATATGTGCCCACACACGTATGTAGAGGTGAACACATGTGAGAAGTACATCCAGAACCGACTTTGTTTATTTGAAAGGCAGTGTTACAGAAAGAGACAGAGAGAGATCTTTCATCTACTGGTTCACGCCACAAATGGCCACAGCATCCGGGACCAAGCTAGGCTGAGGCCAGAAGCCTAGAACTTCTCATTTGGGTCTCCTACTTGGGTACAGGAGCCCAAGCACTTTGGACCATCTTCTGCTGCTCTCCCAAATGTATTAGCAGGGAGCTGGATCAGAAGTAGAGCAGCCAGGACTCGAACTGGCACCCATGTGGGATGCTAGCATCAGAGGTGGCAGCATAACCCTATACCACTATGCCAGTCCCCCAGTCGTGTAAACTATCAGTACTGCCTCTCAGAGGGGGTTCACTAGCAGGAAGTGAGAGCCAGGAAGGGGAACCCAGGCACTTTGGTATGGGGTGTGGACTTGCACTCAGTGTGATGTTCTGATCTGTGGAGAAGCTGGGAGAGTTGATATGGGATGGGACTGTCATGCCCCTGCAGTCCCAGACCTCTAGATCATACCTGTGTGTCGCTTCTTAAAAGTTACTTGAAAGGCAGAGTTACACAGAGAGAGTAAGAGACCGTCCACTGGTTCATTCCCCAAATGTCTGTAACAGCCAGGGCTGGACCAGGCTGAAGCCAGGAGCCAGAAGCCTCATCTGCGTCTCCCAAGTGGATGCAGGAGCCCAAGCATTTAGACCATCCTCCGCTGCTTTCCCAGGCACACTAGCAGGGCACTGGATTGGAACTGGAGCAGCCAGGTTTCACATCAGCACTTGTATGGGTGTGTTTTAATGATGGTTTTTCCGAAGCAGAACCTCCCGGAGGAGCCACAGAAAAGCACGAGCTACCAAGCCTTGGGTCTCAGCATCCTAGGCTCCCCCGCTTTCTCCACTTGCTGCTAGTGTCACTTCCTCTGCTGCTTCTATCCTTACCTTTCCAACTTTGGTTTCCTAGGCCATACCAGTTATCTGTCCTAGGACTGATGGCGAGGGATGGTTTATGGCTACAGGGAATTTGGCCAGAGCTCAGCCTCAGCCAGAGCAACAGCAAGGTTGCCCACCCACCACACGGGGACAGGTCCATCTCTGCTCTACCCTTCCTAGCAAGGGCAGGCAGCATGCTGTAGGTCCTGCCCCCAGGGGGATCCTGGCTAGTCCTAACGCCCTCTGCAACCCAGGGCTTTTGCTGTGTGCCCTGCTGATGAAAAGCTGTGCCTGGTGTGGGGAAGGTCAGGCTTCTGGGGGGGGCGGGCTCCCTGCCCTGTGCTGGCTGGGAAGAGAAAAGCCTTGCTCATCACAAGGGTGGGACCCTCTCCTGACAGTGAGGGACTGAAAAGAAACAGCCTGCTTAGGTTACCATTGTTTTGGTTTAAACAAACCCCTGGTCGTCTAGGACTGACTTGGAAAGGAACCAGGGTTGAGGGAGGCTGGGCTGGTTTTCCCCAGGGGGCCAGGCCAAGTGGGTGGGTGGGGGCACTCAGGCTCTGTCTCTCACCCCCACAAGGCCTCTGCGGGGGTCCTCAGCTCTTCTCCCTGGAAGACATGGCTATCAAGCAGAAGGGTCACCACCTCCAACCCCTGATCCTCATCCTAGGGCCTAGGACCTGCCCTGGGAGAGGAACAGGGCAGAGCTGGTACAGAGGGAAGTTGGGAGTAGGAGGTGGGGGTGAACATCAAGGCTTTCTGCTCTGTTCCAGAGCAGGAGAGGACAAGCCTGGGGGTAGAGGGGACCCCTGGGCAAATGACCCCAAGGAAGAACAAGAGCAAGTGAACAGCAGCCCTAAATGAGAGGAGGCCGGATAGATTTTGCAATGGGCAAATGGGAAGGGGGCAGTTAGGGCTCACTCCCCAATTCAAAAGGGGCCTCCCACATTCACTCCTTCCTGCAACCAACTCTCACCCCAACACCCCACCGCTGTCACTTGAGCACCACTGCCAGGCAGGCAGCAGGGGTAGAGCTGCACCAGAAAGGGCCTGGAGGACAGGGGCCAGGGCACAGTTAGGTGTTGGCAGAATCAATTAAAAGCCACGCTAATCACCATCATTAAGGCTATAAAACCCCACACCTAGGGGCCGCGGGGGCTCCCTGGCATGGCCCCGGGGCCCTGAGCTGTGGCACGGACCCAGGGGCCCAGCTCTAGTCCCTTTCATCTGAGCCTCTCCTCCTCCTGCACAAACAGTAATTAGCACCCGCCCCCGGGGTTGGGGCAATGGAGGGGGAGAGCCTCATTATCCCACAGACACTGAGCAGAGGAGAGGAAAAACGAAGACAAGGAGGAGAAACTGAGGCTACTGCAGTAGCCAAAGAAACCACCCTGGGGGGCTTGTATGAAGAGGGATTCAGAGAGGGGTCTGGGACTGGGGGGAGAGAACCTACTGCAGAATTGGTGGCCTGCTAACCTCACCCCACCTCCCACTCCATCGTACTCAACCAGCCTCTGCCTGCTGTTCTCCGGGGGAGGGGGGAACAGTGAACTGAGGAGGCAACCCTGAGGCATCCAGCCCCTCTTCTGGAGGGAGTAGGCCCTTGCAGGCTGATGGTGACTCCCTGTGCCCAGGCTCAGGTGCAGGTGCGCAGTGGCAGGGGAGGTGTGTGGAGGGATCCCATCAGGATCCCACTACCTGCCACAACACTGAGGTCAGGAAGTCCTTCCTGCACCTCCAGGCCAGCCTCAGCCAACTACATCTGTCTGTTCCTGTCTTCTGCCCAGTCTCACAAGCCCACTCCAGACCCCACAAGGGGTCCCCTACTCCCCCACAACCCAGGAGTAACACCCAGCCTTGCCTGTCTCTCCTTCCAGGGCGCGGACTTGAAGAAAGGGAAGATTCAAGGCCAGGAGTTAACCGGTAAGCACCATGGTCTGCCCCACCTGTAGGGGGCACGAGAGAGGGTGGGTGCAGCAGTGAGGGTGCTGCTGGAGGTCTGGGGTCCAACCGTCCAAGTGCAGCACCCCAGAGCTCTCCATGACAGGGTCCACCTGCGCGCTCTGATTCCATCTCTGACCTACCGCAGAAGGCCAGCAGCGGCGTCCGTGTTCACTTACCAATAATCGCTACCTTGGCTAAACCTCATTGGCTGCAATTCTGCCACTGCACAAAGCTAGCAGTGTCCGTTTGAAAGAGAATAAAACTGAGGCCAGAACGTCAGCTCCAGATGCACCGTTGACCAGGCCCAGGGCCAGCAAGGGGCCATCTGGACTGGAGAGCTTCAGCACCTAACTGGACTCTCCTCTGCTTCCCCCCACTTTCCCCCCACCACACCCCAGGTTCCTTCCTTCTCAGATTCCCACCCTGCAAACAGCACCACACTCAGCCTCATGGTACCCGGAAGCAGCCATGCTCGGATACCCTGTGGGCCAGCCTTCACATCCCGGCTGTATCACTGACTGTGGGCCCGGCGGAACCCCCACTCCCCAGCTCCCTCACTGAGGTGCAGAGAAGGCCTGTGGCTCGGGGCCTGACCCAAAGAAGCCGAGGGACAGTCTTGTCTTCCCACCCCAAGAATAAATCGCCATCCTAGACAACCAGTCAGTTCTGACCCCGGGCTTGTCTCCTAGGGGCTTGTACCCATGGTCGTAGCCATGCACACATGGCGCGGCTCCCCAGCCATGCTCAGGCATCCTTCTCCACAGCAGCAGTGTCTGCCTTTGCACACATGCCACAGGCCTCTAAGGCACTTCATGCTGTTGGCACCCCAGCCATCGCACACACCTGCGGAGGCTACACGCCCAAACCATACCAATTCACACAGCTGTTTCCCAGCACACCCTGCTCTGTTCCCACTCTGAACTCTTTAACACACATACACACACACACACACACACACATCTGACGAAGTGCAGTCTAAAATCTCGGGGAAAGATGAATAGTCAGGAATTCCCCTGACTGTTGGCACGCTGAAGGCCCCAGCAGCCGGAAGTCCACAGCGAGAAACCCTCCCCACAGTCACTGCTTCATCTGATGGGTGGGAAAGGAAGGGAGAGGGAGAAGCCAGCAAGTGTCTCTGCATCCCACCCCATGCCCACCACCCACCAGCAAGCCCTGGCCAGCACGCCTTCCCACCCACCCCGGGGAAGATCCCTGGCTCCAGCCTGTCTCCCATACCCCTCTCAGGAAGGGCAATGGAGAGACAGGGAAGGACAACCTCAGGAGGAGGTAGAGGCCTGGCTTTTAAAAACTCAGTCCGGGCCAGTAAATCCCCAGATCTGAGGGACGAAGGAATGAGGGCTGTTCTCGACTTTGTGCCAAAAGGCCAGCCTCTGCCCCACCCCCACCCCAAGGAGAGGGAAGAGGAGGAGGGGGAAGGCAGGCCTTCTCTGTCGGTGCCCCGGACGTCCAGCTCCTCCAGCTCCCATGATCAAACCTTTGAACCCAGTCCCACCCACCCCCGTAACCACTTCCAGATCCTCCAGGCCCAGCCAAGAAATTGGCTTCTTGGGGGAATTGAGTTCATAAGGAAATGCTGAAAAAATAAATAGAAATCCACTGCCAAATGCATTCGCGGAGGAAGATGGGTTTGTCTGGGGTCAGGAGGTGGCGTGGGTGAGGGGTGGGGGAGCACAGGAAGTCCAACAGGACAGACTAAAGCACAGACAGGACCAACACAACACCCAGTGACCCAGAAAGGCCTGGGAGCCGCACACGGGGCATGTAGGACCTTCTGGTCGGCCTAGAGTGGCTCCTCTTGGACCACCTCGTCCTCTGTCCCTTTGAGCCCCCCAGCGCCCCCAAAGTGTTCTTCCTTCCAGAGCCTGCCAAATGTACATTGGGGTGGCTGGTGATGGGGGAGTCCCCACCCGGTGCTGCTGGGAGGAGGAGCATGGTTTATAGAGTAATCAGGAGCAATGCAGTGCCACGCCATGCAGGCCCAGGGTGGTACGGGAGGGGGCACTCAGCTCACTCTGCTATTTCTGCCCGCAGCCTACCAGCCTCCCTCCCCGCCAGCACACAGTGGCTTCCATCGCTACCAGTTCTTCGTCTACCTCCAGGAAGGAAGGGTCATCTCTCTCCTTCCCAAAGAAAACAAAACTCGAGGTAGGCCTCCCCCATTTTCCAAGTGGCAGTGCAGGCAGGAGACCGGGGACATGTGAACATGTAGGAGTGAGCTGAAGGAGGTGTGGGCTTCAGTGGTCTCCCACCTCAACCCCAACCCCAGGAGCAAATCCCACAGTTGAAGTTGGCAACGTTAGCTGGGCTGAGATGATCTGTGAGGCCAGGTCTCAGAGAAGAGTACCTGGAGCCAGGGAGACCAGCACCCCCAAAACCTTGCACGGCATGTGTGGACAGCTCCCCCACAACACCTCAGCCTGGTAATTGCCCTTGTAATTGAGGCCAATCTGAGCAAGAGGGCCTTGGAATGCCACCATGCCGGTCTGTCTTCATTGGTCCCTAATTGCGCTGGGGCTATCTTAGTGCTGGGGCAAAGGCATCCCCGGCCACACCCTGCCACCAGCAACTCCGAACAGCAGCGTTCCTGGGGATCCACTCCCCGGAGCCTTCCCATGGCTCACACAGCCTGCGATACCTCAATCATCCTGCCACCAGAGCCATGTGGCTGGCCACTGTGACACCCCACACGTGAAGGCTTGGGGTTTCAGAGAAGAGGACCAACAATCTTGCAGAGAGACCACACGTGGCCCAGGCTGCTGGGGAGATGAGTGGGAGGGTGAGTGTCATGAGCCAGCTCCTCTCACCCAGTGACCCTGACCAACCTGCCATCCCTGGGAAGCTGGGCTAACCACCGCAGTGCCCTGAGGGCCCCAGGGGAGAGGAGTGCAGAGCCCAGAAGGGCACTGGCTGAGCAGGGAGTCCTTCAGATGTGTGCCGAGCAGAAACCGCCAATCGCAGAGGGCTCCGGGCCACCCCAGAGAAGCCGAGTCAATGCGACCTTTCCACCCGTGAACCTTGCCCAGGCGCCTCCAGCCCCTCATCAATCCGTAAATCATCCCCTTAAACAGCTCTGCCAAGGACATACTTTGGAGACTACCAGGGAAAGAAACACACATGCTAGGAAACCGCCCATGTTGTACCCAGGCCAAAACAAACTCCTCCAGCGCCTGGTACCCCATTTCACCCAAGATGGTAGGCCCTGGGACTCGCTGGGGTCGCCAATGCACAAGGCAGCCTGCACTGTCCTCTCTGCCAACTGGGAGACTCTCGTGGGATAGGGCAGTGCCTCAAGGTCCCCTGCTGGACTTCATGGTGGGACAATGAACAGATAGAGGCTGGTGCTTTCTGAGGCAGTGTCATCAATCAGTAGAGGCCTGGAGAAGCAGTGAGGGGGAGGGTAAGGCCCTCAAGACGTGCCCCCTCTCTCTGCTGTGCTGCTGAGGAGTCTGCCTGTGAAACATGGCACTGGGGCCCACGTGTCGGCCCAGGACACATATGGCAAGACACACAAGCTGGACACCTCTGGGGTCTGGATTGGATCACTGATCGTTCTGCGTCTTTACCAAAGCTGGGATTCCTTGGGCACCACCCTCCCCCACCCCCACTTCAGCCCGCCCCCTTCTTGTGGCCATAGCAAGCTCAGAAATTGGACTTGTGTCTGAGCAGAGTAGCCCTGGCAACTTCTCTGTCCTGTTGGTGGGCCAGGAAGTCATCCTCCCAAAGGTGAGCTCCCAGCCAAGGGGACTGTTTGCATCTACCATGTGCCCAGCCCTATGCCAGGGTGCCCCAGAAAGAACCAGCTCTCAGGGCCTAGGGAATTTTGCCTGCCCTGGGGGTGGGGGGGCACTTAACGTGGACTTGGGAGACTATGGAACCACTGTGCAAGAATAACTTATAATTAAGCATGTTGTTGAGGATTCTGCACAGTAGGAGGCCTGGAGTTGACTCTGGGGACCCAGGGCAAATGGGTCTCCTCCCTCCAGGGCAGCATGCCCTCAGCAGCCAAGAGAATGTGAAGGAGAGCTAGGGATCTGGCTTTGGGGCAGATTGGTGGAGCGTGCTCTCTCTCTCTCTCTCTCTCTCTCTCTCTCTCTCTCTCTCTCACACACACACACACACACACACACATAATCTGGGCCACCAATGGAAAACAAGCAAAGTCTCTGTGTGATGGGCCAGTCTCTGTGGGCTCTACAAAGGTTGGGCAGGGACTGGACCCTGGATAAAAAGGGAATTTCTTTTAAAGATTTAGTTTACTTTTATTTTATTTTTGAAAGGCCGAGTTATATAGAGAGAATACAGAGCTCTTCCATCCGCTGGTTTACTCCCCAAATGGCTGCATTGGCCAGAACTGAACAGATTAAAAGCCAAGAGCCGGGAGCTTCTTCCAGGTCTCCACCAGCCCCAGCCTGCAACCAGCAGGACAGTCACCTTCGTCCCCATGGAGCCTGGGAAGACTTCAAAGCACAGAACAGCAAGATGACCCATTCCCCTAGGGGCCAGAGCAAAAGCTAGCCAATTCTGACTTCTGGACAAGGGTCCTTGGCAGCTGTCCCCAGCTCACCTGTACTCCAGGAAGCCCAGCCCTGCTGACTTCTGGGCCCTTGGGTGACACGGGTAAGGCCCAGACATTTTGCACCCTGCTTGCCCTGAGCCTCTGTCGCTAGCAATGGCAGTGCCCTTTACACCTGTCCCTCACTGGTCTAAGCTGTGGCTGAAACCAAACTCCTAGGGAACGGTGATGTGCAGCACACCACGCCCTAGTCACCCGGAACACCAGCCAGGCTCACATCCCTTCTTTGCAAGGATGCACCAATGTGATGGCAGACAGGACAGGTGAGACAGAAAAGAGGCCTTGGAGTTCTAGGCCAGGCAGCCATGCACCACTCCACAAGCACCTGACTTGAGCAGCTCTGGGGTGGGCCCCCCAACAGATGCACACACAACACATGCGTCCACAGGGACCAGAGAAGAAGGATAGATAGGGCGCTGCCATGCGGGGTGGGGTGGGGGGTGTCACATCTTGCCTTTGGCCTTGAATTTAGTGGATTTAGTGAGACAAGCCACCAAGAGTGAGAAGGCAGCAGAGACCCCCAGGCGGCAGCCCTGGTGGTAAGAGAGACCAACACACAGGACCCCTGGCCGGGAGGGCCTAGATCGGTTTCCCCAGGCTAGAGCATTGCACAGGAAGGTATGGGGGAAGGGGAGCCAAGAGAGAAAGGACCCTTCTCACCCATGCACACACAGACAGACACAAACACATAGCCTCGTGCAAACAATCTGACCCCCCCTCCCACCTCCACCACCCTGTGACCTCCCACGGTGGTTCACCTGGCCCAGCCTCAGAATCCCCCAGGGCCCCGCCAGTACGGGCTTGTGGCAGACTACTCTCAGCTGCCCCTGAAGAGCCCCACCCACCTGGCAGAGCTGGGAGGACTGGGAGTCTGAAGGCCCCGTCTCAGCAGGTGCCAAGGCTAGAAACTGCCTGGAACAAGGCAGAGCACCCACCATCCGGGGCACAGCCGGACGAATGGCAGAGAAAGTACAGAGGAGCCCCACTTTGCACCCCAGCAACAGCCAAGCATGGTCATGACCAAAGACTGGGGCAGGGCAGCAGGAGCTAAAGTAGCAGCTTTTGGAAGTCACCCCCCCACCTGCACCCTTCCCTGCCTCCAGCCCCTCTTCCTTCTCTCAGCCCCCCAACCCCAGCTGCAGTTGAAGGGAGTCTTGTCGGTGATCTGCCAGCCCAGCAATTAAGAATCAGACCCACTCATAGGCTCTCTGTAGGACACAGGGGTACCCCTGGCACCCCTGTTGTGCTCCCTCCCACCAGCATCAGGGAGGCTGCTCCTCCAGCCCCCTGAGTTTCTGGAGCCGGCAAGATCAGCCAGTCAGCAAGTATTCCCCAGGAGTAATTGGATGCGACGGAAAGAGGACCGTTCAGCTCCCGGAGTACAAGTCTCTGGATATCATTTAAGGCACAAAAAATGAAAGGCCCGGGCCTCCCGCCTACCACCACCAGGACATCATTAATCTCGGCAGAAGGCATCGGCGCTTCTATCACAGCAGCCAGCCCCAGACGCACCAGACAAATTACAGTGCCGAGCTGGGCACTCCGTGGGGCAGTTATTAGATTGGAGTAGAGGAATTTTTGTTTTTGTTTCTTGGTTTTTTTTTTTTTCATCCAGGGCCACTGTCCCCTAACAAGCAGCAGTGGTCTCCTGCCTTGGCAGAGAAGAGAACAAGACCAGGCAAGAGAATGTCCCTGGGTTGAACACAAGTCCCCTGCCCAGGGATGGGGATGGGGGTGAAGGGTGAGGCAGCTCAGAGCCAGACGCTCAGATTTCCCACAAAGACTGCCCCTAGCAGTCAGTGCTGTGGCACATTTTACCAGGGAAAGCCTCTACCTAGGATGCCAGCATTCCACAGAGGTGCCAGTTAAAATCCCGGCTGCTTCACTTCCAACCCAGCTCCCTGTTCATGAATAGGAAAAGTAGCAAAGAATAGTCTAAGAACTTGGGCCCCTGCCACTGGTGCATAAGACCCAGATGAAGCTCCGGGCTCCTGGCATTGGCTCGGCTCAGCCCTGTCAGGTGTGGCCGCTTGGGGAGTAAATCAGCAGGTGGAAAAAAAAAAAATCTGTGTGTCACTCCCTCCTTCTTTAATACTGATTTTCAAATTAATATTTAAATTTTTAAAAAGACTGCCCCCAGGACAGGAAGCACCAACCTCTATCCTCCCCAAGCCTCACATGGGCAGCAGGCTCCACCCTGTCAGCCCAAGACTGGAATAGGGAAGCCACCTCCCCAGCTTCCTGAATCCCACTCTTTGGGTTGAGAGGGAAACGTGTTGGAAGCCCAATGAGGACTCAGAGACAAGCAAGGTGGGGTAGGGTCACCCAGGAAACTGAGCTGTGCTGATGGGACACTCAAAGAAAGGTTCTGTATGGTGGGTGAAGTTACCACATCCCATATCAGAATGCTAGCTTAAGTCCCCACTGCTCCACTTCCCATCCAGCTCTCTGCTAAGGCACCCAGGAAGTCAGCAAAAAAAAAAAAAGCTGAACTACTTGGGTTCCTACCAGCAATATGAGAGACCTGGATGAAGTTTCTGGCTCCTGGCTTTGTCCCGGCCCAGCCCTGGCTATTGCGGCCACTGGAAGAGTGAATTAGCAGTTTTATACCTTTCCCATAAAACATAGCTTAAAAGAAAAGCAAGCCTGGGAAGGGAAGCCTGGGGGTATCCGTCAAGGGTCCCAGCACCGTCCATCCAGAGGAGGAAGTGACCAGTCATCCCCTCAACCCCTGCACAGGGTGGGAGCAGCACCCCTAGGGTTGTGCAGGGACCAGCCCACTCTTCCTGCCTTGAGCAGCCCCCCGGATAGCACTACAGCTGCCACTGGGCGGCGTTAAGAGCTGGGCAGTAGACCGCTTCCACCTCCTGGGAGGGCCCCTGCCCCTGTTGCAGCCTACGTGGGTCCCGGGTACCAGCGCGGTGGCCCTAGGCACCCGCAGCAGCACCACCCTCTTCCTGCATGGCTGGACGGAGCAGTGCCGTCCAGGAAGGGGCTTTCCTCCCAGCGGTGACCACAGAAGCCACAGCTCCCATCTCACCCTACACACCCCCGGAGGGCCTGACTCACCCCCTCTTCCTTCTAGAGCTTGCTCAGGGTCAGTTCCTCTCGCCTCTGTGGCAGGAAGCTAGCAGGGTGGGTAGAGGTGGGGGGGGCGGGGAGAAAGGGGACAAGAGAGAGTATGTAAGGAGCTAGGGAGGAGGTGGGAGGCCTAGGTCTGAGAGTGAGAACTGCAGGGACCTTGGTGGCAGGACTGGCTGGGGGTCCAGGGTCCCCCAGGGCTCATTCTGTACTGGGGGCATCTGCCCGCAGTGCTACCTGAAGACAGCCACAGGCTACTGGGTCAAGCTCTGCACGGGGATTTCTCCCCGGCAGCCTGCTCTGGTCTCGTGGTGGGTTTCAATTCCCTCCTAGCTGCCCAGGCTCCTTCCTGCCCACCACTCAGTGAGGAAGACCCCGTGCCTGCCACACGCCAATTCCCCATGAGCCTACTCCCTGCAACCACACACAAGCATGCGCCCCATCCTGAGGTTGAGGTGGGGGTGTCCTGAGACCACACTTCCTTCCCAGCCAGCCAGGTCCCCCTGGCCAGGGCTGCAGAGTCTCTGAATGGACACACAGAAGACCCCAGCCCCCAAACACTGAGAGAGCACCTTGGCTGCCCCAACCACAGAAGAGCTGTGTGTCTAAGGGGTGGGGAAGGGACTTCTGTCCAGCCCTCCCAAGTCCAACCCGAGCATGCAGTCACTGCTAAGTCAAGTGGGATCTGAGGGAAGCTGACCAGGCCCCCTTCTTGGACCACCATCACCCTGCTCATGCACTGGAGTGCTCTGTCATTACGGAGTAAGTGTGGGGCTCCGGGAAGAGCGCAGAGTACACAGGAAGCACTAAGTTGGTGTGTTGCTGTTGCTGCTGCTGCTTCAGTTATTCCTGTGGTTTGCACCATTGCTCTTACCGGTTGGGTTTGAGGATGGACAGCAACCCTATCTTTGAAATGCCCACAGCCCTGCAGGGAAGGGAGAAGGTGGAGCTGATGGGAGGATGACAGGTGTAGAGAGAGCGGTCTGCAAGTCGCAGACAGGAGAAGCCCTGAGAAGAACCTGAAGCTGCTGCTGGCACCCCTAAGCCCCCCCTCTGTAAGCAGGAGATAGGGCTGCACCCCCACACCCCCCACAGCCTACTGCCCCTTGACCAGCTGTACTGCAGACCAGGCCCTCCCCACACACTCTCTGCACCCACAGGTGATGCAAAATCAGAAAAAATAAAAAAGCAAAAACCCAAACAACCAACCAAAATACCAAGTGGAGGGTACGTTTAAATTCCCATTTCAACTCCAGATAAAAGACAGAAACGTGCTTTCTCAGGTGTATTCTGTGCGATGTGTGGGACACAGGCCACACCCACAAACCACTGGCACATTCTGGCAGCCTTCTGCCCTGGGGTGCTTGTCGCCCAGGGTTTGAGAAACAAGAGCCAGGCATCTGAACACTTACCTACCTGGACCCCTCGTCTCTCCCCAAGGGCTCTGCTGTCCCTGCCCTATCACTGGGCCTAGTCACACCTGTCCCCAACATTGTATTCCTCCAGGAACCCTACAGGAGGAACAGCAAGAAGAGGTGGTTTGGTTTGTGGCAAGGCAAATCTTGGTGGGCAGCTGGGGTGGCCAGGTGGGAAGAAATCATCACAGCCTTGGCCATGAAGTCTTAAAAAGTCTGCAGGAAGGGTGGGCTGCATAGAGGAAGTGGGCAGCCCAGAAGATTGGGCATATCCTGTCTGAGGGGGTAGAGCTACACCAAATAAAGGCCACTAAAGGAGACCCTGGTCCTTGTCCCCTCATCCCCTGTGAGATTTCCCAAGAGTGCTGCTAACCTCCAGAGGGCTACCTCTACATCCAGGAGCCAAGGGTGCTCCCAGACACCATGGTCAAGGTCATCACTGGCTGTCTCCAATTACCCTGGAGCTGCAAGCTCACCCCTGTCTCAGGCCTGCCCATTTGCTCTCATAGCCCTGTTTCTCTCTCTCTCTCTCTCTCTCTCTCTCTCTCTCTCTCTCTCTCTCTCTTTCTCACTGCCACCCCCTCGGTTTATCCTCCCAGCCTCTTGGAAAATGGACAGTTTCCTGAACCGTTATCGCCTGAATGAACCAGAAGCAAGCACCCAGTTCATGACCCAAAACTACCAAGACTCGCCCAGGCTCCAGGCGTCCGGCAACGGCAATGGCAACGACAAGGCCAAGAGCCAACACAATTAGAGATGACTGCTTGCCGTGCCTGACCGCAGGGGTCACCCTCCTGGCATGGGTCCACTTGCCACTACCACCAGCCTGCTGTGGAAGCCCTCTGGGTATGGACCCCTTCTCTCCCCAATTAAAAAAAATCATCCAGACTTGGCATTTTGTTTTCTTTCTTTCTTTCTTTCTTTCTTTCTTTCTTTCTTTCTTTCTTTCTTTCTTTCTTTCTTTCTTTCTTTCTTTCTCTCTCTCTCTCTCTCTCTCTCTCTTTCCTTCCTTCCTTCCCTCCCTCCTTCCTTCCTTCCTTCCTTCCTTCCTTCCTTCCTTCCTTCCTTCCTTTAGGACTGGCGCAAATCCTTGCTGTTTATACTCCAGGATCCCTTATGGGTGACCGATTCATGTCCTGGCTGCTCCACTTCCCATCCAGCTCCCTGCTTGTGGCCTGGGAAAGCAGTCGAGCACGGCCCTAAAGCCTTGGGATCCTGCACCCATATGGGAGATTCAGAAGAAACTCCTGGCTTCAGATTGTGTCATCTCTAGCCTTTGCGGCCACTTGGGGAGCAAACCAGTGGACAGAAGGTCTTTATGTCTCTCCTTCTCTCTGTAGATCTGCCTTTCCAATCGACAATTTTTTTTTAATTAACTTAGTAGAAAGATTTACAAAGAGGAGGAACAGAAGCAGAGAAAGAATAAAATTGACCTTCTCTATGGTGATTCACTCCCCAGATGGCTGGGTTAGTCCAAAGCCAAAACCCAGGAGCTTCTTCCAGGTCTCTCTCATGGGTGCAGAGGGACTTACTGCTTACCCAGGCTATCAACAGGGAGACGCGTGAGAACTGCACCAGCCGGGACACAAACTGGTGCCATACTGGGGGGGCCGGCACCCAAGGCAGAGGCTTAGCTACTACACCATGTCTGTGCCTCCCCACTTTTTTTAGGATCATTTATTTGAAAGTCAGAATTACAGAAGGAGAAAAAAATCTTCCTTCCCCTGATTGACTCCCCCAATGGCTACAACATCCAGGGCTGGGTCAGGTTGAAGCCAGGAGCCAAGAGCTTCTTCTGGGTCTCTCACGTGAGTGTAGGGACCCACGGACTTGGGCCATCCTCCACTGTTTTCTGAGGTGTGTTAGCACGGACCTGAATGGGAGGTGGAGTAGCTGAGTCTTGAAGCAGCACCCGTATGGGAAGCCAACATCACAGGTGGCAGCTTTACTCGCTATACCATCGTGTCAGCGTCCGTTTCAGAGGAAGTCAACCAGTGTTCCGCACTGGGGTTTAGGGTGAAGCTGTGAGTGGGGTTGGGTAACCGGACAGGCATGGTGATCCTGGGGCCAGCGTTGCAGCAGGGCTGCTGTGGGATCCTCATAGGGACCCCAGGCGAAGAACAGTTGGCTAATCCCTCCCCGCCTTGGACTCAGGGGCGAGCAGAGCAGCCAGCACCTGGGGCTTTCAGTCTAGTCAAGCCGAAAACATTGACCAACTGAGTGCAAACCCACAATGATGTGTTGGGGAACGAGAGGTGAAGGTTCAGGGAGAAGTGACGTTCAGTACAGGATTGGAAACTGCCCCACTGGGTTGTGGGGCAGGGGTGAGGCTGGTGAGAGTGGTAGTGGTATGAGAGTGGCAACAGGAGCAGATAAGATTCCAGAGACATGGGTGGCAATCTCGCCTCTCCCCGCAATCGCCTCTCCCCTGCCCACCACCCCCTCCACAACCAAGGAAGCAAAAAGGCCAAGAAGGAATGCAGCTAAAGAGAAACAAACAAACAAACCAACAGGGAAATGGGAATGCTGGGCGAGGAGGCAGAGGCCGGACAACGGGTGATCTGCACCCAGAAAACCACAGGAAATCGCCAACTCGACAGCTGGACAGGGACAGGCAGTGCCAGCAGAGGCGTGCTCTTAGCAAGCTATGAATGCATGTCTTCATTTGTGCCAGGAAGGGGCCCGTGGCATCCAGACTCATACAAGGCCTGTGCAGGCCCTCAGCTTCCACACCTGAAAACCCCTGGAAAGGCGTCACTCACACCTGAACCAAGGCTCCCCAACCCCACCCACCCACAGCTTCCCCACCCCAACTCCAATTTGTTGAAGACCACTCCCCCACACCTCTTCAGCTCATTTTCCTGCCCGAAATTAACAGCCCTGTCTCCTCTGCCACTCAGGGAGACTCGTGTATAGAAGGTGCTTTAAGGTGTCCAGATGGAAGCAGCCAGCAGCACACAGTTGGGGGAACCCAGGGATGCTTGCTGAAGGCAGGCGGGACCCCGCCAGCCCTACCCTCCACCTGGCTGAACAGCCACTTGGACAGTCGGGATGGAAGAAAAAGCAAGGACATGGGGAGGTGGAATTTGTGAATGGAGAGAGAATGGGACAATGCCCCCTACATCGTTCCCTCCAGGGATAGGTTCCATGCCCTGTCCAGTTACAATGGGCAGCAAACTCCTGGATTCTAGAAAGGCATGTGGGCGCCAGCATTGTCTTGCAGTGGATTAAGCTGCCACCCGTGTCCCATAGCAGAACACCAGGTGGAGTCCCCAAGCCACAGCAGATACACTTCCAACTTGGATCCCTGCGTATGTCCCTGGGAAGACAGTGGGCTTGCACTCCTGCTGAGCCTCTTAGAGACTCAAATGGAACTCTGGACTCCTGGCTTCATCCAGGATCAGCCCTAGCTGCTGGGCCATTTGGGGGTGAACCTTCTCTCTCTCTCTCTCTCTCTCTCTAACACTGATTTTTGAATAAATCTTTCCTTTACAAAGGAGGTTAAAAATGGCATTTGGTGCCAGCTGGGACAAAAGGAGCTACTGAGCCTCCCATGCCCTCCTACCTCACCAGGCAAGCTTGTAAGCAGAGCTAAATACGCAGCAAAAGCCAAGTGTCCAGTCGCAGAGTGGGCATTGCCTCAGAGGGGACTTTCTCGGAGCCCAGGCTCCCTTGGGACCTTCTCCCCAAGGCCCCCCGCACCACCAGGCCCAGAGGCTAATTGGCTGCTCCAGTTGATGTCCAGGCAGGGCCAGGATAAACAAAAGGTCAGCTTCCTAGAGCCGCCCCCAAAATCTAGACTCATCCTTTTCTGCCCCCTTCTGCCTTTAATTCTTTGTGGCTAGCGTGTTTATTTTGGGTAAGGGAAAAAAAAATCGGATGTTTATCCTTCGAGGAAATTATCGGCTTGCTTGCTCTCCTCGCTCTCCTTTTACCACCCCCCACCTTCTTTTGTCCTGGTGTTTTGAGCTTCAAGTTCAACTGCCAGAGAGAGACGCTCCCTCCCTATTGGCCCCAAAATGTGAAAGAAGGACACAGCTGGCCAGCTCTCAGCTAAAGCCAGCCTGCCCTGGCAGTCCTTGGGAACCACAACGGAGGCAGCAGAACACGGGGAAGCCCGGAGGACATGTGGGACCTTAGGGAACCCATCTCTGCTTGCACAGGCCCCTGGGTCTTTTCTCCCCACCTCTCTTGCCCTCCGTCTCCTGTCCTTTCTCCCTCTCTCTCCTTCTCTCCCTCTCACCTCTTTGCTGCTCCCTCCCCCTTGCAGGAAGAAACAAGATAGAAAGATTGCTTTGAGAGCTCTTAGGAAATAGCCAAAAAAGTGAAAAAAAAAAAAAACCCTAATTGTGATCTGACATGATTATCCTCATCACCACTGTTATACACTATTCAGGGAGCGTTCTGTGTAGCAGCATCTATGCCAGCTGTGTAGAGTGTGGCACCTCATTTAAGGATCCCCACACAGCTTCCCTACAGGTTGCTGGAGGTTTGGAGGGGCAGGGCGTTGGGGGGAGGGGGGGAAGGGACTCCAGATCTGTCTCTCTTTGGATTGTCACAATAACCTAGTGGTATATGTGGTACATCCTTGCCACATAGACGAGGGAACAGATTCCTTAGAGTGGCCACACCTTACAAGCCATGGTGGCATCTGTTGTTGCCATCAGCCTCCTCCCAGGTGACAGGGGTAAGCATCACTCCAATGTACCCTCTCTGGGCAACAGAAAGGGAGGGTCAGCTCTCCGATTCATTCAAGAGCTGGGCCTGTCCCACGAGGGAAACTGAAAACTTAAGAAAGAAGTCAAGGCCTTGACCATCTCAGACCAAGTGGGATTTGTGGAAAGGCCAAGGGATCTTGGCTGCTGAGGGCAACAGCCTGGCTCAGCCCAGGGCCGCAGTCTCATCAGTTGCTGTCCTGGATCCAGACTCAGCCCTGTCCCCTCTCCTCCACACCTGTGTGATAACCACTCTTCTATAAAGAAGAGAGGGAATGTCCCTTAAAGTGTAGTGATGATGATGATGACAATGGTGATAGATGTGATGATGGTGTTGGTGATAGTGGTTTAATGATGATGATGATGATGGACCCGTGTGTTGGAACTAAGCAGCCTTGGGCCAAAAAGGAACCTTCATCTGTACACTGAGGGTGCTGTTTTCCTACCTAGAAAGCTTAGATTCAGATAGAATTGTTGTCAAGTCGTGGGCAACACGCCCCACTGTTCTGAACTTAGTCTGCATGAATGAGATGTCAGGGAAGGTGCCAACACGAGCCCTGGTGTGCAGTTTGCTCGGTTACGTAGAAGGGCTTCCTGTCAGAGGGCAATGGTGAAGCTTTCTCTCCTCCTCCTCCTCCCCTCTCTCCCAGTTAAGGCTCCTCCCTAAGAGATCCATCAGCCCCTCGGTGATCCCAGGGAGCAAACCAAACACCTCAAGCCCGGGCCTGGGACTCCCCACACACATCCAAGCTAAGGAAACACCAGCAAGCTCGGATGGGAGGACAACTCAGTTCCTTAGCAACTAGCAAGCATCTCCCTGGAGAGACAAAGACCCTTCACTCACAAGGCTCCCTGCCCTGCCCCCGCCAGGCTGCTGCAGGTGTCTGGCACGCTCTTCCCATCGCAACCCCCAGCACCTGCTGCCATGTGCCTGTTCTCCCGTGCCACTAACACCTGCAATGACCTAGCGCTGCTTTCATCCTGATCTTGATGAACTTCCCCGTCTACTCCTGCCCCAGAAGCTGCCCTCAGGGAAGGGCACACAGGGATGTATGTCCATTCTTAGCCCCTGGGAACAGCCCTTGCATCACCATCAGACCCCATTGCTGGCCTGCTGCTGTCTGCCCAGCTCTGGTTCTTTCGTTTCCTAACATCCTCTCTGAGTTCAGC